TCCTTGGTAACCAGAGATTGTTTCTTTTTGCATGAAAACTTTTTACTGAGTTTTTAAACAAGAGTGGTCTTAATAGTGTGATAATGTCAACACTATCCAAAATGATCTAGATATACATAATTTTTGTTCACTAATTTTATATGGAATGGATATCCTTGTTAGTAAAGCATTATTAAAGAAAAAAAGAACACTTCTTGATATGAAAATCTAGTATACAGACACCCACAGTAGTCAAAACAGCCTGGTACTGGTATAACAAAACACACAGATTAATGGAACAGGATTGAGCATTTAGAAATAAATCCATTCACGTACAGTGAGCTGATTTTTGACAAATGGGGTAGAGATAGTCTCTTCACTAATGGTGCTGACAAAACTGGAAATCCATTTACAGAAAAATGAAACAAGACCCACATCTCACATGATATGCAAAAAAACCCCAACATGGATTAAAGACCTAAACGTAAAGCCTAGAACTATAAAGATCATCAATGAAAACATAGGGACAAACTTAGGAGGTCTGATACATTGCACAAATTCACAATCAAACATAACTGAACATACACAAAATATATGACTGGGACCACCAAAAATTAGACACGTATGTGTATCAAAAGATTTCACCAAAATAGTAAAAAGTCTGCAGACCAGAAACATTTTTTTGCAATGACATATCAGACAAGGGACTAATCTCTAAAATTTATAGAAAACTTCAACACCTCTACAGAAAAAAAGACAATCCAATTAAAAAATGGGCAGAGGACATAAACAGACACTTACACCACAGAAGACAGACATTCAAGAGGCCAACTGGCCAACAAACATGTGAAGACATTTCATGATCGTTAGTCACTGTTGTTGTGTGCTGTTGTATTGCTTTCAAGTCTGTTCTGACTCATAGCAACCCTGCATAGGGCTTCTGAGGAAACTGTTAAGTTTGAACCACTGAGCTGCATGTTAGCAGTCCATTGTTTATCCTACAGCATCACACCAGGACTCCATTAACCATTTGTTGTTGTTAAGTGCTGTTGAGTTGGTTCTAACACATAGCGATCTTGTATAGGGTTTCTGAGGAGCAGCTGATAGATTTGAACTGCGGACCTTGTGGTTTGCAGTCCAATGCTGATCCTACAGCACCACACCATTAGCCTTTAGAGAGATGAACAAACAGGTATCATCTCACACCAGCAGTGTGCTGTTGAGGGTATGGAGGAACTGGGACCCTCCTCATACTGGCTGGTAAGACTATAAAATGGTGCAACCACTGTAGAGAATGGTATGGTGCTTCCTCAAAAAGTTGGAACTAGAAATATTGTATGACCCAACAATCCTTCTACTTGGTACACAGCCTTAAGAAATAAGAACTGTGACACGAGTAGAAATGTGTACACCCATGCTCAACTCAGCACTATTCACAACAGCAAACAGATGGACACAGCTTACATGCCTATCAATGGAAGAATGGTTAACAACGGTTGGTACATACACACAATGGAATACTATGCAATGTTGAAGAGTAACGATGACTCTGCAAAATACCCCATAACATGAATGAACCTGGAGGACTTTACGCAAATAGTCAATCAAAAAAGAAAAACACTGTATGAGACCACTAGTGTAAAAACTCCAGAAAATGTTTTCATGGTTTTCCTTTCTTAATTTTCATTACTTAGGTTGAGATGAGCTGTACTTTTAATAGCTCAGATTTTTATTGTTGGGTGCGGGGAGATGGGAAGCATCAGAATCCACACTAATTTGAGTTCCAGAAGGGGCTCAGGTAGGTCATAAGGCTAGCATTTTGCATTTGAGTTGCCATGTATGTCTGCTCATCTTGCTCCTCATAGCTGGGTGGGTGAAACCGTCTAAGGAAAAACTGAAGGGCTATAAATAAAACTGTGGAAGGTGACTTGTATTATGCTATAGGGAACATCAAGAAGCATGTGCCAAGGACCTAAGCAGGGCAAGGCATACAGGAGATGATGTGGGGAGAATGCTTACGTGCTAAGACATTGCATCTTCATTGTCCTTTATGAATTTGATGAAGGGTAACAGACATATCCCTTCTGGTGCATTTACAAATAAAAACCAGGATACAAATTCAACATTATCTCTCTCTCTGCTCTAAGCAGAAGTTGTTAAGAGTCACTGAGTGGATTTCAACTCAGCATCACCTTTGAGAGCAGAACTATCCTATGGTTTTCTTAGTGGTAGTCTTTACGTAAGCAGATTGCCAGGTCTGTGTCTTACAGAGCTATTGGGTGGCTGGGTTAGAACCATCATCCTTTCAGTTAGCTGTCCAGAACTTCACCATTGTGACCCAGAGCTCCTTTTAAGGGGAAAGGAGTTCTTAAACTGTCATCAAAACTAACCTAAACTAACCTAGATGGGGATTTAGAACAGATACTAAAAGCCAAGGATATAATTAGCCTGGTAGGGCTACAAACTGAGCAGAGACCAGAGAAACCCAGAATGCTAAAGCCGTCCATGTGAGAAAACGGTCCACCATGAGAAAGAACACACTACACATTATATATACATTGTTGTTGCAAGTGCTGTCCAGTCAGTTCCAACTCATAGAGACCTAGTATATAAGCTTTCTGAGAAGTAGCTGGTGGGTTTAAACTGTCGGCTTTGTGGTCCAAAACCACCTTGCGGTCCAGTGTTTATCCTACAGTATCATACCAGGACTCCATATGTATACACACACACACACACATATATATATATATATATAATGTTGTTGTTCTTATGTGCCATGGAGTCGGTTCCGACTCATAGCGACCCTGGTACAGGGTTTCCGAGAGCAGAAAGCCTCATCTTTCTCCTGCGGGACCGCTGGTAGTTTCGAACTGCTGACCCTGAGGTTCGCAGCCCTATTCGTAACCATTACACTACCAGAGCTCATATATATATATATATACACACATATCATGTCATCAAATTCTTACACATCCCTAGAAACAAGGGCTCTAGACTAATAGTAAAGTTTGAATTCTGGCTGTGAAATTAGCTAGCTGTCATTCTTTGTGTTTCTTGTTACTGTTAAGTGTCATTCAGTCACAGCTCCAACTCACAGAGACCTTGTATAGGGTTTCTGAGGAGTGGCTGATGGCTTTGAATTGCCAACTTTGAGGGTTAGTAGTTGATTTTTTTATGTTGCTCTAATTCTGTGAGCTTATTTCCTCTTCTGTAAAAGAAGAGTTCTGCTGCATACCTCTAAGTTTGTTGTGAGGGTTTATGAATCTAACATCAGTGATAGCAAATGTTATTTTTGATGTTATAAAAAGTTTCAAATGCCCTCCTGGCTGGTCCTGAGAGAATGACTTCTACGTGTACTGTTGTATTGTGTCAGTTGTCCAGTTGATTCTGACTCTCAGTGCCTCTACAGGAGCGAGTAGCAGAGACCATAGGGTTTCCTAGTCTGTAATGTCTACAGGACCTGGTACCTGGTGGGGTCAAACCTGTGATCTTTTGGTTTGCACCTGAATGTTCAACCATTGTGCCACCAGAGTTCCTTGTATTAGCCAACTGCTATTTTCTCTTTCAGAGTAATTATCAACTTCTGAAAGAATGAGATTAAGAAATCATTACATATGTTAGTTAGTTAACATGATAAATATTTAGTAATATAAATTCAAATTCTAAGGATTAAAACCAAAAAAAATCAGGAATACTCATACATTGTTAGCAAGGAAAAAAAAAAAAACAGATTTGGGAACTTTTTATAATGCAGACTACTGGGGCAGTCATAATGAAGTAAATAGTTTTTATAACTCTCGAACTGCTAGAAGCATTTACCACAGAGGTACTGAAGCCTAGTATGAGCAATAATATCATCATTTTCTCTTTTCCAAGTAACTGGTGTGTCACTGCAGGATAAACCGTGTAAACCTACCAGTCAATCCTCAGAAACCCCATACAGGGTGGCTAAGAATGGAATCCTGTTCGATGGCACTTAATAGCAAAAATCCTATTTAAAATGAAAAACTCCAACCAGACTGAAAAGGGGAAGGGAACCAATGCAGACTTATCGTCCCACTATGTGAAATGTGGATGGTGTGGTTTGTGTAAAAATGCTTAAAATGGCAAAAAAGAAAAAAGAAAATATAAGTCACTTGAAAGTCATATGAACAAATATTCTAGTGCCTTTTATGACAGAAATTGAGTCCCATTCCTTGTAAAAAACAAAAACAAAAAAACCCAATGAATTCAATTTGTTGGTAGTTTAAGGAGAGTAAATATCAAAAATAATTTGTCAGCTCCTCTTTTCTTCTATAGATGTAGCCATAAAATATTATGAGGCATTTGTTCTATTGGCTTACATTATGTTTCAGATAAGTCCAGCTACCTGCAATGCCTAACATGCATATATGTATAGTTCTGTCTCTTTAATTGTAATTTTCTTAAAGGAAAAATGGGATTTTTTTCCCCATGAAATATTTGAAGTTCCTTCATATATATTTAACTGACAAATTCCCACACACAAGCAAAGAAAGAAGGGAACTAGTATTTACTGAATACATACTATGTGCAACACAGTTCGATGCTTTAAAAGCACAACCTCACAATCATGTCATCCAAAAAATTCAAAATATACAGGCTTGGAGAGGTTAACAATTTAGTCTCTAGTTAGACACAAAAGAGCAAGATTTTCAAACCTGGAGGTAACTGACTGAAACCAATGCTATAACCAGTTCCAAAATTGCTTAGGGGTCCCCACTGGTTAGTGTGCCTGATGACATGTTTCTTTGAGGTATCTAAAGAATGACTCTCAGAGAAAAAAAAAAAATTCTTTCAAGTGCTGGGTTCCTACTACAAACTCTAGAAATTAGGGAAAAAAATTGTCCCTACTAGTCATTTCTGGATAGCTACATGAAACAAGTCAGTTTATAAATGTGGTGTTTCAAAAAGTATATAATACACCTATTAATGTTACAAGTACAGTGAGCTACAGGTTTATGTTATGCTGTATTAGAGAAAAAGATTGGCCATATACATACCACATTAGGATTAAATGGTGGTGGAATCTTCTTTTGTACAAGGTCAGTCCAGCTGAGTGATTCAAAAAAAGGATGATTCTGAATTTCAACCTAGAATATTAAAGAAATATTTTTACTGATTCTGAAGAAAATTTTAAAGATGCCAAACCACTGACTACCATTTTGCTCCTCACTGAGTCTTTTTAGATACATGCTCATGCCATTCATGTGGTAAAACAGTGTAGCAGAAAGACTGACCCAACATAAAAGAACTCTCTACTTCACCTTGCTATCTTCTTCCCAGTCATAGCTTCCATGTAGGTAAAATGTAGTTAACATTTCTACACTAGATAAAAGGGTAGTTTTGAGGAGGAGCAGAAAATTCAAGTGCTGCAAAAAGCACTGTATATGTACAAAGAATTATTATTACCTAAATAGGTGATGTAAAGAAGAAATCAAGACATCAGAGTTTTAGAGTGGCATGGAGGTGAAACCAGTGTGAAATTTCACTAACAAGAAAATTTCCTACTCCAGTTGATACTATGACTATGCTAAGTTGGTACAGTATTACTCCCAGCTTTTTTTCCTGCAAGGTGCCATACAAGTGTAAAAAACAGGATCCAACCTAGGGGGGGTGGGCTAAATAACACTTTTTATACAAAGTGATGTTTGATCAGAGATCTGAAGAAAATGTAATCAAAGTTTATAATATCACAGCTATTAATGTTACAAGTACAACAGTATAAGGTAGAGAATATTCTAGGTGGAATATAAAGGCTTGGAGATGGCAAAGAGGTTAAAGATGTTAGATTGGTCAAAAAAGCGAGAATCCAATATGATTGCAGTAAAACGAAGCATCAGGATTGTCACATAGGTGAAGTTAAAGGTGCACATGGGCCATGTCATATAGGGATGTCACAACTACATCATCATTTTTTAATATATTTTGGCTTAATGGGTAAATGGACTGGGGAGTCAAGACTGGATAAAGGAAAAATATCTGTGGTTACACAAAACATGACAGTGCTCAGAAAACCTAAGTAACAGTGTGGTTAGTGATATGTGTCTGGTTATGGGAAAGATTTAATAGGCAAATGCAACAGGACCCAGATATTGGCTAAATATAGAAATTTTGTTGTGTTAAGTGCTGTAGTGTTGGTTCCAACTCATAGCGACCCCTATATAGGGTTTCCAAGGAATAACTGGTGTGAACCACCAACTTTGTGGTTCAAAACATCCTTGCAGTTAAGCGCATTATCCTGCAGCGCCAGATCAGGACTCCTCAAATATACAGGTAAGAGATTAAAAGCCAAGCATGGTTTTTCAATTTCTGATATGAGCAATCAGATGGACACTGGTGACATTTAATTAGGAAGGGAACATGGGGAGAAGATAGGAGTTCAATTTTAAACTTGTGGCATTTGAGTTTCTCTCAAAAAATCCAGTGGTTATGCTCAACAGATGGTTAAGTCTAAGAACAAAACATCAGAATTCAGAAGAGGTGTCAGGTTGTGTGAGAATTGGTAACACGCATGTAATGTAACTAAAGTCATGGTACTATTTGAGATTGCCCAGGAAGAGAGAACAGCAGAAGACAAGAAGGTCTTAGCATGACCTCAAGAAACTACAAAATTTACTGGACAGGTTGAAGAAGAAAAGCCTACCACGGAGATTATGGAGGAGGGCTCAGGAACATAGACAGAAAAGTGTCGGATGAGTGTGTACTCCTGCTTAAACCTAGGGAAGTAGGAAAGAGTAAGTTTACATGCTGCTGAGAGCTCCAGTGAAGGAACAGAAGCACCCAGCAATTCTAGACGTTATTCTATGGTAGAGACAGAAATGAGATTGGGGAAAAGACTGGGGAAGGCAGATGAGTAAAGAAAACTTGCAACAAGGTTAGCCAGGGAGCAAAGAAGCTTGCAGGACAGATAATAAGGGTTCAGGGTTTTTTGGTTTGCTTTAAGATAAAGGTGATTATTGATTGTAAGGAAGCAGAAAAACAGAAAAGTAGTTGTCTGTACAGAAAGAATTATTCATAAGGTTTCTTGCAAGGGGATGGGATCGAGTGCCTAGGTAGAAACTGACTTTTTCCACTAGAGGGAAACGTTAGGTGTAGATATATGTAATTCTGCAAATATGATAGTAAGAAACTGAGTTATAGTTCCCCTTTATTTTTACAAAATAGGCATCTGCTAAAAGTGAGGAAGAAGAAAAGGAATCGAAGTTTGGAAAGAAGGTTTAAAATAGCTGTTGGAGGGAGCAGGAGAGTTAGCTGATCAAAGAAACACAAACACACAAGAGCTTGTTGTTAGGTGGCACTGAGGCAGTTCTGACTCACAGTGACCCTTCGTATGACAGAAAGAAACACTGCTTGGTCCTGTGCCACTCAACCGTTGTTGTTTGAACCCATTATTGCAGTTACTATGTTAATCCATCATGCTGAGGGTCTTCCTCTACTTTACCAAGCATTTCCTTCTTCAGGGATTGGTCCCTTCTGATAGCATGTCCACTGGATGTGAAATGAAGTCTTGTAATCCTTACTTCCAAGGCGCATTCTGGCTGTACTTCTTCCAAGACAGATTTGTTCATTCTTCTGGAAGTCTTTATCAACATCATAACTCATAACTCAAATGCATACATTATAACTGAAAACAGCATGGCATGAGTCAGGTACACCTTAGTCCTCAAAATGACATCTTTGTTCTTGAGACATCCTGTCTACAGGTCTGTCCAGTAAAATACATTGTAGGTTCAAGTAAAATGAAATCTTTGACAACTTCGAACTTTTCTCTGTTAACCATGATGTTGGTTAAGTTGTGAGGATTTTTGTTTTCTTTACCTTGAGCTGAACTCCTTACTGTGTAGTCTTTGGCCTTCATCAGTAAGTGTTTCAAGTCCTCTTCACTCTTAGCAAGTAAGGTTGAGTTATCTGCATATCACAGGTTGTTAATGAGTCTTCCTTTAACGCTGATGCCCCATGTTCTTTACACAGGCCAACTTTTTGGATGGATTTGCTCAGCATATACATTCAACAAGTATGGTGAAAAGATACAAAGCTGATGCACAACAATTCATGATTTTAAACCATGCAGTATCCCCTTGCTCTGTTCACATGATTGCTTTTTGGTTGATGTACTGCTTCTGCATGAGTATAATTAAGTGTTCTGGAATTCCCATTCTTCATAATGGGGCCCTTAATTTGCTTAGAAACTACGATTTTATAGAGGCTTCATTATGTCCAGTTGTGTAACTTTCTTCAGAGGAACCCTAGTGGGGCATGGCTAAAGTGCTTGACTGTAACAAAAGATCGGAGATTTGAACTTACCAGCTATTTCATGGAAGCAAGATGTGGCAGCCTGCTTTGGTAAAGATTTACAGCTTGGAAACCCTATGGGGAAGCTCTACTGTTCTACAGGGTCACTATGAGTCAGAATTCACTAGATAGCAGTGGGGTGGGTTTGGTTCCAGGAGGTAAAAGATAATTGGGTTCACCCCACCCAGGGTTGTGATTTCTGCCACTGGTCCAAAGGGGCAAGGAGGTAAGGAATCAGCAAGACTGAAGGAAACAGTTGACTATGGAATCTAAGCTACACAGCAAGCAGCTGGCAGAGCTACCAGCTCAGCTGAGGCTGGGGAGAGGTAGGGGTATTAGAGGCAGTATTAGAAAACCTCAGCAGTCACAGATCACATTCAAGACTGATTAAACAGCCTCTAGGAATTTCTGAGGAAGAAAATGATGAGTTCAAGTACCTCAACTATCTGTGAATACTGTAATTAACCCAAGACTGCTAACTATAAAAGCACTTGAATTACCCTGATTTCAAACAAAGCTGCAGATTCCATAATCTCAAGGAGGTGTCACCAAATTCTCATCACAGTGTGATTATAACTCTAGCTCAAAGCAAGAGTTATTAATCTAGTCAAATAAAATGAAGTAAAAATTTGTGCTATAAGGGAAAAAGGTGGGGGGGAATACTATGATACTATAAATGAAAATTTAAAAATGCAAATGCTTTAAACATTCTTATATCGATATAAATATTGGTGACAACTGTCGAGACATGCATGCTTCCTTCTCATGGTACTATTCTTGGATAGCTGCAGTTATCACATTAAACAACACACAAACTAAGGACTCATCTCCCACTTAAAATAAGCTAAAATAAAGTCAGTACTGGGAAAGATGCTACATACAAAGTCTTCTTTGGCACCGAGTCGATTTTGCCTGTCTTTTTCTAGGAGTTCCTCCAGAATGGACCAGGCTGTGAGACTCACTCCAGGTCTCAAATTGAGGGGCTTGTGAAGAATATTGTCATACATTTCAGCAACATCTCGGCAATAAAAAGGCGGCTAAGGATTTGAAAAAAAAAAAAAAAAAAATTATCAAAATAAATTAAGTGGTAACCAAATTTTAGTAAAAATTGGGGTTAAAATAGTAGGGTCTGGCCTCCATCTTCAGTTGGCAGTCTAAACAATTGCAGATGCCTTTTAAGCACGTGGACATTTGCAATGTGATCTCCTGGTAACAGAAACTCCAGGGCCCAGCACACCACAGAGCTTAATGCACATTCACAGGATAAATTAGGGGTGTTTCAGTTGTTCATTAGCACCTTCTGGGCAAGTGTTAAGATTGTATAAAACAGTATCTGCCTTAGAGAAAATATCTGCCTTAGAGAAAACAACAAGTAACCTCCTCATTGTTATTGTTATTAAGTGTTGTAGAGTCCGCCGGGCTCATAGTAACCCGGTATAGGGTGTTCAAGGAATGACTGGTAGGTTTGAACCCATGACCTTTGAGTTAGAAGTCTACTGCTTACCCCACAGTGCCACACCAGGGCTCCTAACCTCCTGACAAGCACAGTGATAAAATTACTGGAAACAGAAACTCAATATACAGACTAACACTAAGTCATTTCTTACAGGGTTTGGAATAAACTAATTAGAATGGTGAGCCGAAGACCAGGCGTTCACTATGTAAGTACTTCTGATAGTGATAACATTCGGGTGACAGTTTACGCTGGGGAGAGACAGGGTCAACATGTGAATCAGCTAGTTAATCATCTAGTTTTAAAGTAAAGGGATTTTACAATTTCGTCATTAAAAAAATTTTTTTTTCTTTTTGAGTGTTTTTGTTAACCCTGTATGGGGTTTCTGAGGAATGGCTGTTAGGTCTGAGTCACCAACTTTGCAGGTCCAAAGTGGGGGGATGGGTGACTTTTTCAATCTAACTATACTGGAAATTAGTTAATAAAAATTGTTGTTAAGTGCCATCGAGTCGGTTCCGATCTACAGCAAACCAGAATAGGGTTTTCTAGGAGTGGCTGGTGAGCTTGCACTGCTGACCTTGTGATTCAAACCAACTTTGCAGTCAGCACATTAACCCACAGCGCCACACCAGGACTCCTAATAAAGCATAAGTATCATTAATACAGCATATGTTTAAAATATTTCTTTTAAAATCAACTATATTTTATATTATTGTCATTGTTATAGTACTGTGCAGTTGGTTCTGACTTACAGCAACCCTGTATGGGGTTTTCAAGGAGCAGGTGGCAGGTTTAACAGTCCAGGTCTTATATACTACAGTGTCACATCAGGACTCCACACATTTTTGAACTTTTAAAATGGAGTGCATTTTATACATTAACACTTTCAAAGTCCTCAAAAGAAATTCCAAGGCTGTTGAAATATAAAGAAGGTAAATATCCAGCATTGGAGAACCTGGGTCTTTTAACAAGGGGATTGTAATCAACGATAAAGACATATAAATGCTGTTTGCTTTTATAGGACTCTATCAATAAAATTAGCAGCATGAAACAAATGCCCCAGAATATACCTCCTGTGCAGAATTCCATTTCATGCTCTAAGAAAAAGCAAGTACGAAATGCAAAAACCCAGCTCAGGTCTCAGTTGAGGGCAGCATTTAGCATTAGTATGGCGATGGCAGGAGCAGCACTGGGTCATAGTAGAGGGTGCCCAGCGTGTGCTATTCAACAATTAAGGGATCATGAAGGGAGTCTAAAATCGTTTGGTTTTGGTTGGAGCATTTACTCAAGGTAGGGAAAACAATTCATGTTCATGAGGTTGTTAAGTGCTGTTGAGTTCTAACTCATAGTGACCCTATATAGGATTTCTGAGGAGCAGCTGGTGGGCTTGAACTGCCAACCTGTGGTTAGCAGTCCAGTGCTTATCCTACAGTGCCACACCAGGACCCCCTTAATATGAAGAGACTTCAAAAAGTATGGGGAAAAATGGAATTAAATGATACCGGATTTTTTCCCTCATACTTTTGAAACTCCCTCATGTGAATGGGGGAAATTAATTCTGCATTTTCATGAAATCCTCAAGACATGTGTTTATTAGAAAGAGATTATGGAGTCCTGGTGTGGAGGTTAATGGGCTGGACTGCAAGGCAGGTTTGAAGTGCAAAGTTGGTGGTTCAAGCTCACCACTCGCTCCCTGGAAACCCTATACAGGGTCGTATGAGTCGGAACCGATGACACAGCATTTCACAACAGCAACAAGTAGTGAAAAAGGTGAGAATCAAGGTATTAATTAAATCCTACAAAAATAAATTATAAGGCAAACACAAAGTTTTTCCTTTCATCTTTTTGAAATTAAGCAGGAATGGTAGGCAAAATGAAAGTGGTGGCACTGTGGGTTAATATGCTGGACTGCAGAGTTGATTTGAACCACAAGGCTGGTGGTTCAAGCTCACCCGCTGCTTCTCGGAAACCTTGTACAAGGTTGCTATGGGTCGGAATCGACAGCATTCAACATAAACTCACTGTCCCTAAGCTTGCCAACAAACCCTTCAAGTTGCTGCTGTTAATTTGACCCTATAGGTATACAGATAGTTCTTTAAAAGACCACAAAGGTTAAGGCAAAATTACTTTAGTAATTAAGGGAAGTGGGTAATTTTAAGGTTACAAGAAGGAGACAATTTCTAAAAATGGCAGTGCGATGTGGACACCTGGAAAAGTTATTAATATGACATAAATAATTGTATCAATTAAAAAACACTAGTAAACAAATAAAATGCTCTAATTTTTGGCCCTGTGGGTTAATTCAACTGGACTGCAAAGTCAGTTTGAACCGCTCCTCGGAAACACTATAGAGTGTCATTATGGGTCGGAACTGACTTGAAGGCACTTAACAGCAACAACAAATTTTGTGCATATCTCTAATGTGTTTTTGATTTTTGATTCCTATAGCCAGGTTACTGTTTTGCTACTAGTGTTTTCTATGTGTCCACAAGATTATCAGAAACAAACAAAAAAACCCCTCTAATTTATTACAATATACTAAAATAGTCATGAAAGAATAAAAATACATACCAATCCATACAGCATCTCATACAGGACAGCACCGAGACACCACCAATCTACAGTATTGTCGTAAGGCTGTTTCCTGATTACTTCAGGTGCAAGGTACTACGTAAAAGATGGAAATAGTAGAGGATTTCAAACAACAATTCAGAAGTTTATCACATTTTAGGTTTTACTATCATACTGAAAACCTAGCATAGTTTAGGGGGTTGAGGGGTGTTCTCATTCTATCCCAGTGTTTCTAAGGCAGATCAAAATCAACTTGGATTTGTTTTCATTTAAAAAAACAACAAACATTCTAGCACCTTCTCAGAAATTGTGATACAGAAGAGAGAGCAAGTGTAGAATTTTTCATACTAAGTGGATAAAATACATGTTTTAGAAGGAAAATCTTTCACAAGATTAACACATCAGTTTTTCCTTGAAGTGTTGTTAATGTGTCAAATTTAATCCTTTTTATTCTCTTTTTAACGAAAGAAAAAAATTTCATTCTTATTTGAAAATTACAATAGCAATTCCGTTATTTAGAAGTTAAGTAAATTGATTATTTACATTTAAATGTGAAAAAACAAATTTTCCCATTAACAATTTATACACATTCTGTTTTGTGACAGTTTCCATTCCCTCAATATAACAGAAAGCTTCCTGCTTCCATCTGGGGTTACACGGTTCTACTTGTCCTTTCTTGTGCCTTTCTGCCTTCTGAGCTTTGTTTTTAGGCAAACGCTGCCCTTGTGATCTTACAAGGTTGATGATTCTGAGGAACCTGTTCCTCCTGAGTGACACTATTCACTTTATAGACCTGTCTATTCGGGTACAGTGATCCCAGCAGGTGAGTTCAGTTCTAGGTATGAAAAGAACTGAAGAGCCACAGTTTCTATTAGACCAGTAAGTCTGGCCTATTTCTGATTTTGAATTTCATTCTACATTTTTCTCCTATTCTGTCCAGGGCCTTCTATGGTCCCGAACAGAGTGGTCAGTAGTGGTAGTTGGCAATCATCTGTGGTTTGAGTGGGTCATTAGTCCTCTGAACTGACTGACTGTTCCCTTGAGTCTTTGAATTTCTTTACTTTTCTTTCCCCTGGACAGGGAGAGAGACCAATAGTTGCATCTTAGATGGTCACTCACTAGCTTTTAAGACCCCCGTTCGCTATTCACCATAGTAGGATGTAGAACACTGTCTTTGTGAACAGTGACATGTCTTTTGACTTAACTGTCACCAAAGAATGTGGTCCTAAGCTCCTAAGACCAGTGACTCATTCCAAGATGTTTGGTTGGTTATAGCTAAGAATTGTGTCCCCTTCGCTCTACTACATCCATGTAAATAAACACTTCATATATAGAGAGAAACAGCCTCTGCCAACTCTATGCCAACCCTGTATTTGCTGATGGGTGTAGTCCTGTTTGCCTACTCATACTTGTTCAGCTTGCATGTCTGTCTATGCAACAGTCAGAAAAAATTTTAGACATATCATAATTTTATATATACTAGATGGTGGATTTGAATTTTAGAGTCTCAAATACCTATTTCTTCTTTCCACACCAAGTACATGTACAAAATATATTTCATCTTGTACTTTTTAAAATATGTTCCAATGACCAAATAAAAGTTTTTAAGTGCAAAAATTTCCTGTTTTCTTTTTAAAAACTATAGGACTTAAAGAACTAAAGATTTTATAAACTAAGAAATCAACATACCTTCACAAAAATACTTCATATAATATATAAACCAAATGGATGACTACAAATACATGTAAAAGCTTAGGTATCTTAGATGTTAAAGGAAGCACATTTCAAAGTAAATAATTATTACCTATAGACACTTTTGTTAAGTTTCTGACCTTGAATATAAGACTTATGTGAGCCATTTTATCATACTTTTTCTTTTTTACATAATTTATTTCTGTTGTTGAGAATACAGGCTGCAGAAGGGTCTATATGTTCAATTCAGGAACACCGATTATATCTGAGTTGCGCAAGTATTCTAAGTCTCCTTTTTTTAAGTTGTTTCATCCCATTAACACACTCGCTATAGAGTCCTGGTGTGGCACTGTAGGATAAGCACTGGACCATAGGTTGGTTTGAACCACAAGGTCCTTCAAACCTAGCAGCTGCTCCTCGGAAACCCTATACAGGGACGCTATGAGTTGGAACCAACTTGTCAGCACTTAACAACAACACACTCACTGCCTTTAAGCTTCCTACCTAATCTTTCTGAGCTGCTGTTATCAATTTAATCCCATAAAAGTAGTTCTTAAAAGAGCACAAGGCTCAAGGCAGACCTACTTTACTAGTGACGCCAAAACTACTGTTGGGTTTTAAGAAGACTTCAGGAGGATTTGAAATTCTGCTCTATATCTTCTCCCAAATTTGATCAAGACTCTTCTGCAGAACCTTTGATCAAAATGTTCAGCAATGGTAGCTGGGTTAGTATATTTTTTCAACACTGTATCTGGAGTTACTCCACAGTAATGATGAAATATTTACCTGACACCTAAGAGCATTATAAACAGATTAAAATCAGGCAAGCTAAGGTACACTAAATTTTTGTGTGTATGTGTGTGTGAAGTGAGAAAAAATAACAAGCCTTTTACATAAATTGCACAGATTATCATGGTTTTCACTAACAGACTCATTTTTGCTAGGTAGCATGATTAAGGACTGGGGTGTTTCAGTTAATAAATCCTAATACACAATTTTTTTTTTTTCACATCCATTGCTTCATTTCAACGACATTGAAAATTAGGGAAACGTAATAAAAACCAATATAGACACCACCTAGGTATTGTTGTTGTTAAGCGCAGTCTAATCAATTCCGACTCATAGTGACTCTGTATAGGGTTTCTGAATAGTGGCTGGTGAATTTGAACCGCTGACCTTGCAGTTCAAAGCAATGTTGAGGTCCAGTGCTTTAAGTCCAGAGTGCCACACCAGGACTCTCTACCTAGGCGTAGGCAGTGTTAACAGTTGATGCTTTAAAATAATAGCTTTATACTGAGATATCTACCTATCATACCACTCACCCACAATCAACTTCTGAGCATTTTTTATTGCTGATTCAGGATTCTTAAAAAGGATCAACATAAAAACCAAGCAAGCATAATTTATCTTTGTTGGCTTATTCAATATTATCTTCTGTTATCTCTAAATGACATTTAAAAATGCCAACCACCAATAAAGTCTTAATGTTCAGTAGAGATATTTATCAATAAAGTCTAAGTGACTGGAAGTTAAATGACAGCTTTCATTCTATTGTCATACTTCATACTTTTGATTATGCAACTTGTGGTTCATATGAGGGGGCTTCAGAAAGTTTGTGGAAATGGAATGAAAAAACAGTGAAATTTTTCCATGAACTTTCTAAAGTCTCATATTTGCATTTTATACGAGCTTTATAGATGACAAATAAAACACATTTCTTACCTCTGGTGTCCCACAAAATGTGGTGGTGGTATCAGAAATAGCAATTCCTTCTTTACAAAGTCCAAAATCAGTTAAGACAACATGTCCCTGACAAACACAGAGGCAGAAAGATAAAACAATGCACAGATATAATTAACAACAAATCAACAATTAAAAAACAACCTTCTAATGTGAAATAATTATAAACTTAAAAGAAATCGCAGAAACAGTACAGAGCCACGTGAACCCAGCAATGATGATACTAACAACAACTGCAGCGCAGCACCAAAGCCGGTCTACTTGATGCTGCGTTGTTTCCTGGCCTTCCAAACGCACTTGAGTGTCACTATCTTTACAGGTATGCGTGTGTGTGTGTGTGTGTGTGAGTGCTGTGCAATTATATCCCACCTATCGATCCTGATCCTTGTAAACACCACCAACAAAGGAGTTCCCTTGTGCCACCCCTTTCTTCGTGAACTCCCCAGACTCCCTGGTTGTGGTGCTCTGGCAGCCACTCAACTGTTTTTGAGCTCTACACCTCTTGTCATTTTCAGAATGCTATATAAGTGAAATTGTGCTGTCGGTAAGCTTTTCCCACTAATCATACAAACAACAAAAATTGAGGAGTAGTTCATTTGTAAAAGATAATACTTACTACTGAATCCAAAAGAATATTTTCTGGTTTCAAGTCTCTATAAAGTTAAAGGAAAAGAAAACCCAAACTGAGTATTAATGGGTATAAAACATTAAAAATAAACTGTTACAAGTAATATTCGAACCATTACCTGTACACTATTTTGATAGAGTGCAAATAACCCAATGCACTGGCGATTTCAGCAGCATAAAACCTAGCTCTGTGCTCAGGAAAGGACCGTTCTCTTTGTAAGTGAAAAAACAGCTGTAAAATTGAAGAAAATGAATGCTCAGATTCATAAAATAACATCAACACATTCTGTAAGTATTAAAACATAAACTTCTAGGGGACATGGAGAGAGGAAGCAGTTGAGGACTCCAGATTCATGGGAAGAGAGGGACAAAGAGCTGGTGGCCGGGAGGCAGACTTGCAGAATGTGCCCTTTGGTGGTGTTAATTATTGTTATATATGCCTGAGTTGTTCTTTTTTTTTTTTTTAAAGCTAAAGTGAATAGAGAGAAATACTGTTAACTGATGCTACATGGAGGGGCTTATAATTATTAAATGAAACAAGGTGTATGATTTGTTGAATGTAAAACTGATGGTCTGTCCTGTTGTAAACTTTTACTAAATCCACAATAAAAAATCTTTAAAAAAAACAACAACCCATAAACTTCTATTAGTCTTAACGTGAAATAAAAATGTTCCAGAGCAGAACTGCAACTCTCCCTTGTCTCTGTGTTTCCCTCCAGTAATCCTCTTTTCACCCAAGGTTTACTCTTTAAGCCTCACACCTCCCATTATGTTCTCAAGCCTCAATTTAACAGTAACCTTACCTCTCCAAGGTACAGCTCCAGTGGAAATTATCTATGATGACTAACAATTCTGGTTTTGTCATGTAATTATCACACAGACCTTTTCTGACTGTTGTTTAATTAAAAAACTATTCAAAGATTGAAAATTTGTGGATGGTAGACCAAATAAAACCCACAGACATAATTTGCTTATGCCAAATGCTGTTTTTAGAAGTTTAAATTAGTTGGTGACATTTAAAAACTGGGGACTATATACTATTCTTTTTGTTTTTTCCCGGGGGGCGGGGGAGAAGAAGAAGTTTTTCAGCATTGGTACCTACATTCCAATGTGGTAGCAACTGGCTGGGGCAATTTCTTTTTAAAAGAAATTCTGGACAGGCCTAGAACTGAACTCACCCTCATGGCTCAATTCCCAGTTAAACAATGGACTGATTTATAAGGGAAATAATAACAGAAGGGAGGTAAGCATTCCTTAGAATAATCAATCACCTGAGGTCAAAAAGGGCTGTATTTGCCCAAGGACAAAGCTCAGAAGGTAGTAAGGTTTAGGAGAGGAGGAGTAATAGAAATAGTAGACACAGGGAAGAAGCGGGATAAAGGACGTTCCATTTCAGGGACTGAAATGAAGGGCATGAAACAAAATGTGTATGAATTGTTAAAAGAAAAACCAATTTTCTCTATAAACTTTCACCCAGTTCATAATAAAAAAAATTTAAAAAGTGTGAAAGAATTGCTGGCTGTGTTTAAGGCAGAGCTTCCCTGAGTCTTTTACATGCTGAAGCATTGTGAATCACCAAGCTTGGAATACATGGAGCATTTTCCAAACTCATTTCAGCCCAGAACCCTTTATTATAGGAGCATCTCATCCAACCGATACTGATAGTTCACACCTTTTAGGAAAGGACAAGCTGAAGTAATATTTATGTGCAACTGCTGAAGCAAAAGTATCTAAATTAAAATTGATAATTGATTTTAATATTTCAGTTTATTATTCTTGCCGGTAGCATAGTGGTTATGAGTCAGGCTGCTAACTAACCTCAAGGTCAGCAGTTTAAAACTACCAGTAACTCCACAGGAGAAAGACGAGGCTTTCTGATCCTGTAAAGATTTACAGCCTCGGAAACCCTATGCAGGGTCATTATGTGTCGAAACCAACCCCATGGCACACCACCACCATACAGCTTAGCGACAAAACTATGAAGTCTACAGCTTCATAGTAAGGTTCTCTCATAAACCTTCCTAACTACACCTTAACTCGCTTAAGAGCCCGTTGTACTTCCCTGCATCTTGCATGTACTGAGTACCCTGACTACTCAAAAAATACCTGTTGAAACATTAGTCTCCCTGACCCTGAGACCGAAGAACTAGATGGTGCCTGGCTACCACCACTACCTACTGCTCTGAAAGGGACCACACTAGAAGGTCCTGGATAGAGCGGGAGAAAATGTGGAACAAAATCCAAAATCATAAGAACACCAGGCTTACTGGTCAGATAGAGACTAGTGAAATCCCCAAGACTATGGCCCTTAATCACCTTTAACTTTGGAAATGAACTCACCCTCATGGCTTAATTTTCAGCCAATCAATAGGCCTATAAAGGGAACTCTAACACTAGGAAGGTATGTACACCTTAGATTAATCAACCATTTGAGATTGTAAGGGTTAGGAAAGAAGACTGGAAAAACTGAAAACACGAGGAAATGGGATAAGGGATGTTACATGATGGGGACTGCAATCAATGACTTGAAACAACATGTGTATGAATTGTTGAATGGAAAACTGATCTGTCACCAAATTCATAATAAAAAATAAAAAAAAACTAGAATATTTATAAGAACTCCAGCTACAAATTATATTTCCTAGACATCAATATTATAAAATTAATTATAAAGCTCACCTCCCCTCCATTGATAAAATCCAGGACAAAGTAAAGCTTTTCAGTTGTTTGGAAAGAATAATGCAATCCAACCAAAAATGGATGTTTCACATTTTTCAAAAGAACATTACGTTCGGCCATAATATGTTTTTGCTGGAAAAAAGGAAAAGGATAAACTCATACATCAGAAAACAAATTCTATTGAGAATATAAGCTAAGGAAAACAAAAGCTATCTTATTTTACCTCTTTTCTGTTGAGAACAATTTTTTTCTGTAACACTTTGACAGCATAAAATTTCCCATCCAGTTTCCGTTTTGCAAGAAGAACCTGTTAGATTGTGTATATGTGTATGCGATTAGACATTTCATTATTATGGATAGAAATAAATTCACTTGTAAATAAATGAGTACATAAAAATATTTTGTAAAAACAAAAGTTCACATTTTTTTTGCTTTGGAAAAAGCAACTTTCTACAATCCCACTGTCTCTTAGCTACTTTAATAAAACAAGAGTGTTGATCATTTGACTAACCAGGCACTATGTCTTTGCCACCTAACGTATTTGAGATTTTCCGTACACTAAAGGACATTATCTATACATACTGCTTGAGAACTTAGGTGTGTGTGGGTGGGTGCAGGTAAGTTTGGGGGAGGATATATGTGTTTGTGTGTGTGAGAGAGAGAACAAACTCTGAGTCCTGAAGAATGCCCTTTGAAATACCGAGCCTATAAACATCACGGCTTTATGAATAAAGAAGCAGTAGTGATTTTTAGGTGATCAAAATGCATCTTCTAATATTTAGATTTCTCTTACAGATTCTGAACTCAATTAGAGTATGTGCAAGATAAAGAAGCACCATGTGTGGCTGAGTTTCTATAATGGGTTGAGTTGCATGCATGTAGACCCTTTTAAGAATGTAAATGTAAAAGTAACTTCAGTAAAGAGGGTGAAGGAAAAGCAGCAGACCTATATGTTGTTGTTAGGTGCCTTTGAGTTGGTACAAATCATAGCGACCTTATGCACAACGGAACAAAACACTGCCCAGT